CACTCGTTATTTTGAGGGTATTTTTGAAATATGGGACCGATTTTTGGACGGCGCGGGCGGTGTAAATTATTTCTATTGTGCTTAGGAACAAGTGAATTAAAAGTGCCACTTGTTAGTTTCTCTTGTATTTGCTTTTTATTTCAAACCAAATTTATGTCTTTTAATAAAAGCTCTTATCGATTCAAAACGCCAAATACATTAGGTAATTTTCGAAACGTTAGGCCGTAGTTAAAATAAATTTAAACTAAGTTATTTCGCGTTTACAACCATTGAAATTGTTTTTTAAATCTTACATAATCTACAGATAATACAAACGTAAAACAGAATTTGTCTGTTGTTACGAGTATAGAGGTAAATATGTACATATAATTTTAAAATAAACTTTCGTATAACATTTATAACTATATTATTATATTATATTATATTATAAATTTGCTACAAGGAAACGTTCTTGACTAATTTATTTAGAAACAAGGGTTATTTAAATAAAATGTTATATACATTTTATATGCAAAGTATGAAGAGACACGGGATTCTCTTATGTAGGACTCCGAGTCCAATACTATACCTAAAGCTTCCCCTGGATTTAAGCCTAAGACCGAACGCTGCTTAAAATTAACTTAGCCGTCATAACTCGTCTAAACACTTAGGTACGTTATATTTAGCCGTCGGGTAGAGTTTTTGGAGTAGACAGCGAAGGCTAAATAATTAATAAGCTCACAAATCCATTTGCTTTGAGTTTTGCGTTTTTTTCGGGTCCATTACAACGTTGCGCGCCCAATTTGGAAATATTGAATAAGTAATACATAGCTTTCCGGAATATCAACATAGACTAATAGGGAAGATCTGTTTTATAAAATCAAAATATTTAAGTCTCTTATTACCGTACTGTATTTATAAACTGTTTTTAATATAGGGCATATTTATGTACTGTACTGTACCTACAGTAAGTACCCGAAAGCATTTTAATATTTTTCGCTCTCTAGTATTTTTAAGGTTTCCTCTAGTAAGTTTAATAAGAAAATAAATATTTTGTCTAACTTATTTATTAGGTTTATTGTTGAACTAAATGTTGCCTACGTAACTTAATGTTTCAATGCGTTGCATTGCGTCAAACACGAGAGATCGTTGGTTCGATTTCCCACGATTGGCCAGGGCACAGAAGTCTCAACTAGGTTCTCGTATGTCCTGTAAATAAAATCGATTATTAAAACGGTCACAAAAACCTTTACAGATAGACCAGGGTGACATGGGAACTAACTTGGAACTTAGTATTTTTTCATTGTGCCTTTTTATCTATAAAAACCTTACTCTATGCAAAATAACAAAACCAACATCTAAACGTGTTATGACGAGTTGCCTCGCATTACTTAACGTGAATATGCCTTGGAAATTGTGGGAAGTGCATGAAAATATGATGGCTGTACGAGTGCTGTACTGATGAAAATTGTTCTCATTTTTTGTTTCCAATTTCGGATGAAGAAATTATTACCAGGACTGTGCGAATATATATATTAAATTTAAAGATATAATATAACGTCTAGCCTGTTTGGGTGTATCTGGTACAGTTTAGTTTATCCTCTCTCCAAACTACCATTTATAGTCTATAGATAGACGACATGGACGAATAATGTTTCACTTTTAGTTTATATAAATTAGAGCATTGAGGTCAATTTTTTAAACATAAATTGTCTTAAGTTAAAAAACTACATATTATAGATCTACTTCGTTAACTTGCCTTAACTTTATAAGAAGTATCTAAGTTTTTTTTGTTTCCACAAGAAGTTCAATCTAACAACGAGATAGTATGTTTTCATTAGGATAGAATCCTTGCACTAAAGACAAGAAATAAACCGTAAAAGGAAAGTAAGGGAGACTAGTATGTAAGACAAAACTTTATCAAAATAGAAATACTGCATATTCTAGTTCTTTGCAGTATTATAAAAGTTCAACAAGGATTATGTTTAGGTAATGTAACTTTTGTATATTAATTTATTTTTTTATTTTAGAAAAGGAATGACAAACATGGGGTTCAACTTGATGGCTGGTGAGACATCCCATCTAGTCATAAGTTAGGATTTAGACTTATTTTAGTTTGAATATACGGAAATGTACGACTCAAACCTAAACGCGATTAAATTTTTTCATTGGACGGTGGTTTGTGACCCGGACGAAATTTTGTTATTCCTACCATCTAAATAAGTAAATGAAATTAACGCTTGGGTCTTCAAAACATTCAACAGCTTTGCAAGTCACCGTTAAACAAATGATGCAGCTTGTGTCAAGAATAACCGTTTTGAGTTACTTCTCATAACTGTCGGTAATCATTACCCTTTACAGTAGTGACAGATATAATCCCCTTGTTGTGTTTGCGACTTATTTGTCTTCAATGGAAACTACTGAAGGCGATTATTAAGCATCGGTATCTGCATTGTGTCAAAATGTTTGTAGCAATGGGTTCGCAGCAGGTGTTTTTTTACGTAGTTTTTGTGTGACCAGGATGGACGAATATGGTTGTTATTTCTACTTTAGATGTCGTAAATTAAGTTGTGTATAATAATGAAGTCAAGTCAATGGTGAAATAGAATTAACAGACAATAATAACGTGTAACAGCGAATTGTCGTGATAGCACGTGTTTACCACATCTCAGTATGAGTTACGATATTTCAACGTGATCTGATTTTGTTTAATAGATTAAAAAGTACGCCTATTTTAATTCTTGCATCTTCACAATGTAATAATTAATGCTTATAAACTATATACTTATCGATTTATTAAATCTTTAATACTTCTTCCACAGGAATTGAATAACCCACGTTACACTAGAAAGACCCCAAACACGCACTGTTTAACATTTTAACTAGAGTTATCTTCTAAAAAGTTTTAAAACAGTTATTGAAGTTCAATCAGCGTGTATGCTTTCTTTTTGTTTATCTATTAATGTATAACTAAATTAAGCTGAAGAGTTTGTTTGTTACAGCTGGTTCGAAAAATTCTTTTTGTGTGAGCATTCATCGAGAGAGGCTTTAGACTATAGCCTAACGAACGATGCGACCAGTAGAAGCGAAGGAAAAGAGGAAATGTGGATAATTATTAAACTAAGTGTTTAAGTGTTTCTTACGCTCCTAAAACGGTGAATGATACGAAAGAATGATTCCTCTTTACATGTTCTCTAAAAATGTCGGCGATACTATATGTCTATCTTTTAAGATTATTTTGCAAGCCGGCGAAAGCGACGATATGGGTTATAGTTGTAATTAATTCATAAAAATGAGCAATTCTCTTCTTTATCTTTATGAAATAAAAACAATTTTTTTTACCCAAAATACTATTCTACGCGGAGGAAGTAAAAATAGAAGGGCGCTCGCACAGCTATTCCCTAAGGGTTATAGTCTTAGGATAGCAAAACAAACGCTACAAAATCACTAATTAAATAAAAAATTCGCATAATTTTTCACACTAAATTAAGAAGCCCAAATGTGTTGACACGATCTGACCACTTGACTGCCACTTATAGTCCGATCGTACTTCCGGAGTTAGCATCTGTCTGTTTTTGTCGTGACCGTTTTCAGTCCCTTCATAGAAAAGCAATCGGGTAGTCGTAAACGTTAAGGGTCTGAAAGTGCCCCCCAGGGGGTCTCTAAAGGCACTACGATGTTTCTTGACACTAGAAAAAGTACGTCAGTAGCCCCTACTACGGTCACCGGGGGTGTTATAAGGCAAAAAGTGTAATTTAAAGCTGGCTTAAGGTTTCGAATTAAAATGAAGTAGGGGTCGTTTGGTCTCCTGAAGCGTGATATTACTTGTTAATATTAAATTGGACACTTTTCTGACTTGTTATTTTCACGAGTTGTTCACTTTAAATGCATATTTCTTAGCTTAACGAATAAGTTGGAATTCAGTAAAAATACCGTGTATATAAATAATTGTATGAAGTGCTCGATTGCTGCAAAGCATCTGAAACGTCGGGCCGTTTTTAAAATAACCTGTAAATAAATACTGTCTATAGTTTACGCGTGTAGTATACATTATAAAACACTTTAATGGTTTAAAACGCGGTATATTAGTTAAGTAGTAACTGATATATTGCGTTTTAAACCGTTAAAGTGTTTTATTTAAATAGAATATGTTGTCCAGTTGTAATTTGCTTCTCTGTTAAAATTGAATTATTAAACAAATCAAACTTTTTTAATTAATAAGTTTTCAAGCCTAGAGTTTACAAAGGAATATTGATTTATTCAAGTTCGGCATTCAGAGTCCCAATAGACTGATCTAGTTAGTATTAGTGGAACACAATCGCAACCTAATTGTCATGCCTGCATCTATGTCTATTGTTTCGCGATAAGGCGTTCGAAACGAGTTTTGTATGCAAATTATATGTAAGATAGATATAATTAATTTCAAATATTGCCGATAAGCTAGTAGGTATGTTTAAAAGAATACTCTTTCGTTGATGATAGAACAAGTTGTCGGGTTCGTTGGATGTGTGGCTTATAATCAACGGGTCTGTCCATCATTCTTTCTAATCATTTATATATTTTTTTAACATGTTGGACTACGTCTGGAAATCTAGATAATGAGTGGGAGGAATATCGAAATTCCGTCTGGGTCACGAACCACAGACGAAAAAGGCCTCAAGCTTAATCGTGTTTCGTTTTCAGTCTGTGGTTAAAAGCATCTTGATCTTTCAAAAAGTATCTTGTTTAGATGTTATAGCTGTGGCTGGTGTTTCACCTACCATCAAGTGTTTGGCTGTCCTTCTCTATCCTAATAAATACAATATTTTTATCGTTTTCTTCCTGTTTCTGTTTCTTTTTCCCCTACGTCTGACTTTCTTCTTGTTCTTTAATTGTTTTTATATAAAGTGAAAAAGCTGCTTGCTTGCTGAAAGGTTTGCATTAAAATATTTATAACAGCGTTGTAACTCTGTTGTAGCTCCAAGTCCTAATGTATTGATCATACGTCTTGAGTCAAAAAACAATATTTCACAATTCTCTAGGCACTAGACGGTGGGCGTGGCTTCCAATGGGCGGAGCAGAGGCGGTCCCTCGGAGACCTCCCAGGGCACTCGAGTGTCCCGAGTTCGGACTTTGTTTAAACGAAGTTACTCGTCATTTTTGGTTATTATTATACAAATGCTCTTTGGTTATTTAAATGGGTAAATTAACTCATACATATATTTAAAATAAGTAACTTTACAGTAATTGAAAATATGATTTTTTTTATTCGTCGTGCTTCATGTAATATCTGTTAGCACAGTAATAGCTATTGTAATCTTAAATTATTCTCAATGGTGAAATAATAATAAATTATTCCACCGTGTGCAATCATACTTGTTAGATTCATACTTTTGGACTTTCTTACGTATGGTTAAAACGAAAGCGTTAAGAAATATTTATGAATGTTTAAATCTTTATTTTTATAAAATTATTATTTTTAGTGAGCACATTAGGCAGATATCTGTATAAGTCTCGCTTAGACACTAATAATATTTTTTTTACTATCGGGACTAGGTTAGTTACTGTTTATCATAGGTAGGAATTTCAATAGTGTTACCAAAATGTTTATATCACAGAGAAGCTTTTAAAAAAGAAACTATGTCTAAGTCCCTCAGGAATGTGGTGCTCAATAAAATTGAATATAAAATTTACTTAAAGATCTAATTGTTTAATTAAATTGTTCTGCGTTTATAAATTGTTAAATTGTTACAAGCTTTGACCTATAGATCTTTCAGCAATTGTTATGTAGGAAACGCTCAAAGCAATTTATTCATATTACAAACTTAAAGTTCACATGTTCAATAATTAATGTGGCGACAAAACCTCATCTCGCTTGTAGTTAAAGTCAATTCCCACAGAAATTTCATCATCGTCAATCTAACTCGGTTTAATAAGTAATACTTACGCTTTGGGCCGTCCCTCCCCGGGTTACTCCGAAGAGACTCTATTCGTCTCATCGCCTCATCCCTTACGCGAGAGTCGGTCTCAGAGGGAAACTCTACAACGAGCCGCCATTACTATTCATTTCCACGTTAAAACTGCACGCGTAGTGGCTGGAAAAATTAAAAAATCAACCAAACTCCTTTGGATTTTTTTTAACTCGAAAATAATAATGTTCCATTCGAAATTTGAATTTAGAGCAGTAATCGAAATGGTAAAAAGTGGCGCCATCTACAATAGTGCGGCCGTCCTGCTCTTGAGGCGAGGGCGTGTCCCAAGGGCGCCTCCCACAGTCCGCGGGGACGGACGGGGGCGCAGCGCAACCCGAGCACTCGGCGGCGCGCTCCCGCGACGCTTGTTAGTGTTCCGCAAATCCACAACGGGATCGCCCGTACAACCGGGACTCTATCCCTGAACGTAACATTACCGCTTATCGGATACATAACATTTATATTTTTTAAATTCCAAGTTAACTATTTCTCTCAACTACTATTTCTACTATATTTGTTTAGTATCGTTCAATTTTGTTAAAACGCAAAAGTGGTTTATACTATTCTATTTTCAAAAATGCGTCGGACATAACAGTTAAAAGTTAACATTAATTTTAGTGCGCGTACGATTTTAAACAATTGATTTAAAGCTGGAAAAGTTTTTGAAAAGCGAACGCCGCATTCGAAAGGTTCTCAGTTCACGGTGAGTTCGCGCGCTCTCGGGCGCCCGACCGGGTGTCCGGTCGAGATTCGCGATTCGGTCGGACGAGTTGAACGCGGCGGCGGGCGGGTATACTGGCTCGCCGTGGCCGCCGCTGGAACTAGACCCCGTGGGATGGGGGCGCAAACTCTACCCTTCAGGCGCGCCGAGGTCCTCTGGTATGTACCTTTGAAAAGCGGTTTTATACACAAAAATCAAAGAGCACTGTAACTTTTAAATAGAAAAAGTAGTTTTAATCTATTTACCATATCATTCTACTTAACTAGATTAAACAATAAATGTACTGAAAATGGAAAATGACTCTACAAGCGCTACGTATGTTGTGAATTGTAAATTACCAACGCTACGTAAAGCTACGTCGATAGCTACGCGTATCTCGTAGCGCATAAGAATGTATAATTATTGTAGACTTTAAAGTTAATTTTCGTTTATATAAAAGTCACAAATTAATTGAGGCTAAATTTGTAGTGCTTATAATACTATCATCCGTTTTAGTGATTATTGAACTACTATGTATTTTATGAATTAGATAATAGTTGTCATAGTAGTATAGCATTATTGTATTTAAATTTATCATATATATTAGTCTTTATTATAAAAACTAAAATTTACATGAATTTATGTAATAATTTTAAACATTTGTTACTGTAACCTGAGTTATTTTTATTGTTTTTTTACGACCACTAAAATTGGTAGTGTTTATACACACACTCACTTTAAAGTATATAAAAAGTGAATTAAATTTCCATTAATGTTTTTGTTAGGCGGCCTTATGTTCGGCCTTCATCACCAAGAAACGGCAGGGGTACACACACAACCTCGCGGCCCTGTCACATCTCTCAAAGAGGAACCTCTCACACGAGCTTGGATGACTCCGAGCTCCTTAGTTGACAATACCAAGTAAGTAATAAATCCTGGGTTCGATGTTGGGGGAAAAACAATTGGTTTGATCAATAAGTGCATAAAAGTCTTATCAACTTGCCTGAAAATTAAATCTATTGCTAACAGATACAAAAATGTATCTGCTCCATGCTCATATATACATAAAAAGTAAATAAAAGATGTAAAAAGTAGGTAATTACCATAGCAAGAAAAAAACATTATCAATCTTAATTAAAACATTTATGTTTTACTATAATTCTTAAAACAATGACATAGAACATACGAGAAGAAATGACATTACAATCTCTGCTACTTTTATTTAAATTTCAAATTTACGCAATATTACATAAGCTTAGTATAAGTTATAACGTCAGTAGTAAGACAATTGCTACAAAAGCTACAAGAACGTTATTCAGTTAATATGTTGGTATAATGTGTTACAACAGGCAAATTTAATAAACTTTTAGTTGCCAAAATAAATCCATGAAACTAATTGCTTAAGAATGTAATGTGATTGAGCTACTGTGTAATATATTAACAATATAAGATGTTCTTTCGAGTGTCATCAACTTTTAACAATTCAAGTCAAATAAAACTTTTAGAATTATTAAGAAATTCGGGTTTTAAGTAAATTTAGGGCTACCTACATGACAGGAGGGAGCAAGTATAAGCTAATAAAGATTACTTGAATTCGATACTCCGATTCCATTCGAGCCCTTATTTACTGGAATAATAAGCCAGTTAGTTGACGAAATGAGCAACCAAATTCGATAAATTTTATTATGGGATCTACAAACCAAGTGACAAACAGAAAATCCACTCTACAGGATTATAAACACAAATGTTGGGGAACTAGTAAATGCTTAGTTGTTAGTGGTAAAGAATTTTATACAATTTGAAGCGGCGTTACACATAGTATTCAAGCAATAAAATTTCTAATTCCTAGTAAAGAACAAATATTAAAGTATCAGTGACTACTTTGTATTTTAATACTTATAGAGCTAATATATTTTTTTCTAAATATAGTATTTTTGTATAGGTGCTACGAAATCCTACATTTTCTTGAACTTATACATCTCACAATGGCGAAAAAAATAGTTTCTACTTGCAGTCTTGTTATATGGTTGTACATTAAAATCAATCACAAATATTTGCGTATCAGAAGTAGTAGAGAGTAACTAAACTGGTGAAGCAACAACAAAAAAATAAATTAAGTTAAATTTGTATGTATTAAGTAGGACACGGTAACTGAATTGGTTTAAGTAACAGCAACGCTGTCGATGACGGGTCAAATGTTTATTTTTCAATCTATAATCAATTTTTAAATCAAGGATATTTTTAGAGAAGCCAAAGTTCTAAGTTTAAAAACAATAGAACAGTTATTTGCAGTATAATACCTAGATATTAAACCACATCGATTTATATCATACCATAAGTAGTAGCGTGTCCAATCAGGGGTGAATGCTGGACGATAATGAAGCTGCCGTAACAAGTGGGTATTCATGAAAAGGGTGTTATAAATCATAACCCAGTGTAGGTACCCACAGATAATGAATGGTCTATTTTACATTTCAAAAGCTATAATAGAGTTGAGGAAATTTTAATTTTACAGTATACAGATGTAAGTGATATAGTTAAAACCTAGCTAAGGTATTGTCGGTACTGTCTGTAGTTTACGCGAACTACTTAAAAACACTTATAACGGTATAAAACGCGAAATTTATTACTTCAATTATTTACAATATGTTTTTAACAACCAACTATGTTCTAACGTTTCGTGGTCACGGGGGCTGCTGGAAAGCATCCGAAACGTCGGATCGTAGTTAAAATAATTTCCAAATAAGTTTAATTAATATATATCGCGTTTTAAACCGTTAAAGTGTTTTATTTATAACTAGACACTAAATAAAATAATACTTAAACCAGTAAGCAAAACTCGAAAATGAAGTACCCACCACCCCCGTACTTATCATATTTTAAGTAATGAAGTTGTGCAACAATATGCGGCATTTGGTTCCGTATAATATGACGTATTGATGCGCACTCGAATTAGTAAGCATTGTGTTTGCGGAGGGCCCCCGACATCTGTCGTGTTTTAGCTCAGTCTTACGTCAAATGTTTATTTTATCGACTCGCTCAACTCTAAGTCAACAATCAACAGTAATTGTTTATTTTTTTACTTTAATTAACAGTATTGGCAAACATTGGTAAGAGAATATGGTCTATTTATTATAATATAATAATACACTTGTGTAGGGAGAAAACGCCTTAATCGCGGGGAAAAGCTGTACCTTTCCTGGAACTTCTTAAATTTTGTGAATATACAAGAGAACGTGGTTTATAATGTCGGATGATGTCATTGTTCAGACGGAGTAAAGATATAATTATTCAGTGATTACCTTTGAAGCTATAAACTTAATTTTTATAAGAGATATAGACAAAAGTTGAAATTTAAAGAAAGATAACAATTTAAAAATTATAATGGCGACTCTAACCCAAAGTCAAAGTTTGAAATGCCACTATGCTCTAACAATTCAGATACCGGGTCATCACTAAACTAATATTTATGAAATACTTTTTAAGTATTACGCATTTATTAAGGGTTTTGTGAATAATTATTGTAATTAAGAATTAATCAAATAATTGCTGGGTAATGACAAATGTGAAGAGATAGCCGTCAGACGGTGATGACAGGCTCATTTGTTAAGTTACTCCGAGTCATTAAAGCCCCGCCCTAGACCGATTAGGTGGTTTTTGTCAAATTACGCTTACATAACTTTAATGATACACATAAATCTTACGATTGAATGTTATTGTATTTCTTATAAAGTCGAGCCTTTGAGTTTGAATTTCACCATGCAAGAAAGACTGCATAAAAGACGGAAAATCCTCAGGGCTTGTATAGGTAAATCTTAAAAAAATAATACAGAAGTGGTTTTATTTTTTTATATAAAAACTATCTTAGTGAAAATAAAACATTTTATTTGTCAAATAACAAGACATAGGTACATCGATATACTTAATAGCATAGTTTCATGGACATCATTCCTTCCTGTCTTATGACCTGAATAGAGATTTTATTCGTGCATAAATATTGAATAATTCAAATAAAGTAGGAGTACATTTCTAACAGAATTACTCTTGACTAATGGCGCCACCGTCGAAAAACAAAATCGCTCCGAAGATTGACAAATCTGCCGTGATCTGTAAGCGAAAAAAGCGCTACAACCTAATCGCGAGTGCGCTGCCGAAACTGGTAGCGATAAATAAAACAATGGAGGGTATAAAATGGCAATCGCGAAACCAATTTGTTTACGCAAATTCTGCAGCGGAGAGATGAATGGGCGACCATAGCGTAATACGGGCCTGGCGGGTAATGCTGTATTGATAGTGTTGTCACGTATACGGTGCTATATCGATGATAAATTGGTCAATTTTATGATACCTTCTACTCGGGACGTTGATTACTTTAATAGTGACTTGAATTTCGAACCTACTAAGCAGTTGCTGTAAATTACTAGAAACAATTTAAATAAAACACTTCAACGGTTTAAACCGCGTTTTTAATTCTAATATATGTATATCGCGTTTTAAACCGTTGTTAATAATTAAATCATTATTTAAATGTGTACTACTCGCGTAAACTATAGACAGTATTTAATTTAAACAAGTCGCTATATTTTAGGTACTACGAGTCAATAATGACTTTAATTTTGCCTACTTTATACTTAGGTAGGTCTTAGTGACGTCACGTCATAGTTTTACACATTTTTAATTTTAAAAAGTATCAAAGTACTACACTTTAGCTAGATTAAAAGAGAAGGTAGCTGGAAATAAAAATGATAGTATTATAAATCTTGTTTTTTTTTAATACATAGTTGTTTTTTATAGAGTTTATATTTCACCGTTTTAAACAATTAATTAACTAAAGCGGATTTATTACTTTGTATGTGGTAAGTAACACACCATTCGTGTTAAAAACAAGTATAGATTTTCACGCTCGGTAGGTACGTATCTACCGGGCATTTTAAGCCTTGTATTGAATATGAGAGAAAAAACAGGACGCTGTTAGCAATTTGCAAATAGTCATATCTTTCCGGCCACAACATGGGTCGTAAATCATTTTTAAAAGGATTTTTAATCTGTTCTATTGTTTTCGTTAACGGTTATTTGAATAAGATCGTAAAATGTTTAGTCACGGAGATTTTGAAGTTTTAATTTATGAAGATGTCTGCTGTTCTAAACTTTATGACTACTGTTATTTCGGTATTTTGGTCTTTAATGTTGTATTTTTTACGACTATTTTATCATTATCGTCGGATACGTTGATACTGAAAAACACAATTTATAATATATTTTTTAATTATTTATTTCGCTAATAATATTTGATACTTTTATACGCTTAAATTAATAATAAAAGTTGAATTAATTAATTGAACATATTTTATTTAAAAAAACCATGGTATACTGTAGAAAAGTTTTCACATTCGAAACGAGATGGCGGCCTTTATATAGATCATAATATATTAATATAATTGATGCTAAAGAACTTTACTAGAATATCAGAAAGTTTAATAGAAAAATCTCAAGGTGAAAAATACTACATTATCATATTCTCTTACCTAACAGTAGCGTGGGTGTTGGGCGTGCACACTTCGAAAAGCAACCACCGAGCAACCTGCGCAAGAGCAATTTCTTCCATTTTGTGGTAGCGTTGTATGACCGAGCTGGACAACCTATCGAGATAGAACGTACCGCATTCATAGGATTTATAGAAAAGGACCAAGTAAGTGATATTTAGTAATCAAAACAAAAAGATATTATTTTTGTGTTTTTAATATTTTAAACACTTATAATTGTAAATGATGTGTCGTCTTTAGTTTTAATTATACATAAAAGAAAACGTGGCAGAAAGCTTTATAATGCTTCCAAAATATTTTGCACTACGAAGAAAAATACAATTTAAATATTTCACGTTTTCAACCCGTAAAAAGTGTCGTATTAACATAGGTAAGCTTATACTTTCGTTAGTTTTTTTAAGGTTCATCATTAAGAATCGCTTGTGAAAGAAATCTATAAGGATCATACTTTTGTAATACTTAGAGTACAATGTATTAATGATGAGTTTATCAATAAATCCGGTTGATAAGTATCGTGAATCAGCCGGTCGGTCCATCAATCAGGATCGTACGACACACTCCATTGTGTGCACAATGCACATTTACATAATTTAGCTGCGTTGGTGGTATTCCCTATATAGATCACACAATAATATATGAGAATTTGTTAGAAATTTTAAATAAAAATGATACGCTTTTGTTTATGGAAATGTGCGGATGTAGGCCGCGCATGGGTCGCGCATTCACACGTCTTGTTTGTTTGTCCGGCATTCATTATTGAGTAGCAAACATCGTTCTACCCACTATGCTCGCATGCTTGCCTCAATGACATCGTATTTTTATCTTTTTAAAGGCCTTGTACGTTTCAAAACACGAACCATAGAGTAGTTAAAAAAAACTATATATTTTCTATAACAGTGGCTATGTAGTATTACATAATCTGTGCTTTGGAATGAAAGCTGTTTGGATGGTTTAATTTGAAGTTCGAACTATGTTTCAAAAAGTTGCAATAGCCATTGTAACAGAACGTAGATTCCAAATTCCAAGTTTAAGAAAAGGCGGGACTAACATAAACGAATACAATCTGTGGTTATTTTTATCCTAGGAAGCAATATGCAAAGAAAAGGAAAAATGAAGATTTTATAAGACGTTCTTAAAATTTTGCATTTTCTTACAGGAAGCAGAAGGCCAGAAAACAAATAATGGAATCCAGTACAGGCTTCAACTACTTTACGCAAACGGTAAGTCTATAAGTTCGTTGTCCTGATTGATTAAGATTCTATGATGCTGCTCTATATCCATATTATCCTAGAGACAACGTAGCCCAGAGCCGTACTGTAAATATTTGTTGTCTTGGCTGTTAGACTAGGATAATGGAAAATTGGCATTCAATAGCTCTTACACTATGAATGATGATTGTTCTGGGCTCTTAGGCTATATATGCATAAAGTTCTACAATGTTAGAGATTGTTACACAAAGTAAATAACTAACTACAAGTAACGTTGTGTACACAATCGTACTGCTTTAGTAATTTTTCAACCACAATTTATATTTAAAAAGCTTGGTGACGTTTTAATTAAATTTATTATGTATAACGATTCAAATATTTCTAAAGGCGAACAAAAAATATCAAAATTTTAGGGTACTTAAAAGCAAATTTTGAAAATTTCCCAACTGCCCTATCATGAGCTAATAACCTTGTGTTAACAATCTTCTTGTAACCAAGTATAAGGAGCCATATTAGCCAATTATACGCAAATTAACACGACTATGGGGTGCTTTTTAATTCGCCTAAATTATTTTAATTCCTGTTATGTGCCAGGAAAAAGGGAAAAGTAATTTGAAGGGGTTAACAAATTGTGCACCGCTCCGCTGTACCTAGCTCGCTTGTTCTTTATTGCTACTATGTGTAAACGTTACTGATAAGGCCGGTTATACACGATCGCCGTATTTTATTGCATATTTATTTTATTTAGTGAACATTTTATTTAAAGAAAACACTTTTACGGTTTAAAACGCGATATTTATCGCCCGACGTTTCAGATGCTTTGTAGCACCCGTGGTCACGGGGAGACTAGCCGACATTGGCCGTAGTTATGATAATTTCCAAATAAGTTTAAATACTTAATATATATCTAGTTTTAAACCACAAAAGTGTTTTATTTACTTACATAAACAACAGACAGTATTTAAACATTTTATTTAAAGTCATATTTATGTGAATTAAATTATTAATAATAATTTATGAAAATGAAATGTGCTTTGATATTTATTTTATCTAAAGAGCAAACGTAAAACTATCCAAACATTTCAGTAATTTACCATGGTAATTATGGTTATTTTTATTTAAAAAAGTGTATAGGTTAGAATAGTTATTGCTTAAATACGTGTCAGGCCAAATTTTATCCATATTGTGTTGTCTAAAAATATACCCATATAAGTATATAATATATTTTTTTATTACTAAGCAAACCCTTTCGGCGTAATTGTTTTTTCACTATAATTATTTCGTGTTTAGAATAAAAGAACAATCCGCAACATCAAAAATCAATATGTTAACAGATTTATACCTTAAATAGACATGTTTATAAAATAGACAGATGTGTACTAAGCTTAACATTAGAAGCGGGTACAAATGAGTTGTGAAAACATTTCTGTCTCAAATGATGATTTACGTAATGTGTACGGCACTGTAGTGGCGCGTTTGTTTCAGGTATCAGACAGGAGCAGGATATATTCGTTCGACTAATAGACTCCGTTACGAAGCAGGTGAGTTTTATTGGCCTCTAAAAATATTATGTAGAATTACTACTGGAACTAGAATGGAAATATTACTTGACGCAACTAGTAGAACACAAGATAGGCACCCAATTTTGGTAAGACCAGTAAGATTATTTTTGACGGTCCCGTCGGTGTAATAGTAGCAATGTATTGCTAATAATCGGCGGGTCTTAAGTTCGATTCCCAACGGGTCCAACATTTTTTCTAATAGACTTTTAAAACATGTTGGTGTTTGTCTGGAAATCTCGATATTAATTGGGTAGGAATATTGAAATTCCGCCCGGATTCCATCACTCTCCACAGAAAAATCACAGGTCTATTCGCGTTCCGTTTTCAGTCTGTGGATTTCGGAATACCCAAAGCTAAAATGGGTTAACGCATCTTATTTAGATGTTATATGGCTGGGGTATGAACCTACCATTGAGTGAATTCCATGCTTGTCTGTTTACCTCTATCAAAAAATGAAATACTTGTTTGAAAACATTTATATTTTTCCCCAGTTTTTGCCCCCGGAGGCCCCTTTTTTTTTTAAAAACCAAAAAAAAATTTAAAAATTTTTCCCCCGGGGGATATTTTTTTTTTTTTCCCCCTTTTTTTTTTTTTTTTTTTTCCCCCTTTTTTTTCCCCCCCCCCCCCCCCCACCCCCCCCCCCCCCCCCCCCGGGGGGGGGGTTTTTTTTTTTCCCGGGGGGGGGGGGGGTTTTTTTTTTTTAAAAAAAAAAAAAGGGGGGGGGGGGGGGGGGGGGGGGGGGGGGGGGGCCCCCCCCCCCCCCCCCCCGCCGCGCGGGCCGCCCCCCCCCCCCCCCCCCCCTTTTTTTTTTTTTTTTTTTTTTTTTTAATGAAATACATACTTATTGTTAAAACAATTAAATAAATATTATATGTACTTACTACATATTATAGTCAACTTGTATTTGGGATGTGATTTTTCGTATACTCAAAGTAAAAAATTCAATAATAAATTTAAATTGCAGTAGTTGTGTGGTACAACGCAGTAGTTGTAATTACCATCTAAAATCATGCTCTGATAATAATAATGCTCAAAGTTATTAAAACATAGACTAATAGGAAGAAATGCGGAGCTACCTCAGTTGAAGGGGTACCACACACGCGTGGCGATCATGCGTCAGCCGCGTGTTCGATTCTCTTCGCCCACAGATTAGGTACAATCTGCACGCCCACCCAACCTCTGCTCAACTGAAATTGCCATAAATTTTTGATAACTACAATTTTAAATTTCGAACGTTTATGTTTTTCACTATCAAATCTAAACGACAGTAGCATAATAATTATCTCATATCTTTTATGGTAATATTTTGATGTGCTTAAACACATCGAAATATTACCATAAAAGATTAGGTTACCAGATAAAACCCAAAAGGTTTTTATTTGGCGTATATCGATAATACCTAAAGATCGTATACATATAAAAAACGATTTAGTTCAGTAATCTAAAAGGTTACTGAACTAAATCAATGTCTCTCAAATGTCAACTTACAATACGACTAATTTAAATAGTAAACAAATAAACAACAATAAAACGGAGATAGCTGAAGATTGCAAGGAACGGAAACAAACGCGAAACAATTCCGTAATTCTTAGTTAACAACGTTCGGCCTAAGTTAATTATGTTCATGGCATAAATCTTTCGTAATTGGCCTCTTGTTACACAACACTAAGAGGCCGGGACGTGTTGAAATTATATATGTGAAGTACACGGCGAAGTTTCATGATGGCTTCCTAAGCTAAAATTGTTATTTATGTAATAAACGAGAACGTGATAATTGCCAAACCTCGCGCGACACCCTTTCAAGCTTTTGTATTTCTGGTTCTAATGTGGCGATTCAACGATATTATGTTGATTGTAGCAGGTAGTATTTTCGAAATTAGAACAGAATAACAAATAAAAATCATTGACACATCGCGAACGTACAGTTCCCTATATTGACAGACAAAGAATTGACTACTGCTACTATAGCAGCGGTGTAGAGACGACAAAAAAGGGCATTAAGTAAAATTTCACGATACAAATGTTATAACATCATAACAAACTGCGGCGATTTATTTTTGTCTTTGAGTACGAAACAAAGATACAAAAATGAAATCTCCCAAAAAAATTTTAGAGTTTAACGTGGGTTCGAGCACCACCTAAGGACGTCATGGGTTATACAACATGCCAAATTCCAAAAATTACTTTATACCTACTGTTTACCGTCCATAAAAATGTTTTAATGACAATCACTTGGCAGTTCAAGAGACAAGATTGACATGCAAAACAGTCATTCAACTAAAATGTCGGCAAAGATGGCGTCCGGATAATAGCGAGTTGCGGTTGATTTAATTGTATTAAAACGTTAGGCTGAGGGCACACGAGCAATCAGCTAATGTGGTAAACTGGTAGTCGTGCATGCAAACCATACACGCAACTACCAAAAAAATCTAGACGTCTAGACTTCAGATGTAAGGGTTAAAGTTGATAGTATATAGTATTTAACAGCCGTAAAAGTACTGGGAGCTTAAATGTAATTTTTAGTTAATCTATACTAATCTGTCTACACTAATCTGTATACTGTCTGTCCGGCTTTAACTCCGAAACTACTAAACTGATTGAAATGAAATTTGGTACATAGATATTTTAGAGCCTGAGAAAGGCTGGAAAATAAAATATTCGTTTAAGGGTGGCTTCATTTAATTATCTCTAAGCCCTCTATACCCAAGAGTTCTTATATTTTATGTAATTATTTACTTATTTTTGACATAACTTAAGAAAAGTTACAGTATGTAATTTTAGCAGTTGTAAACGGTAAGAGTCTGGACCGAACGACCAATAGCCGGTTTTTATAATTTCCTATTATAATATTTATTTATATATTATTTAAATTCCCTATTATGTAAAAATGTGATTTCCTATAATTAAATTTCGAATGTGTATGACTAATATAGGAACATTACTACCGATTTCGAAGTTGCATTATAAATGTTAATAATAGAACAAAGAGAGGATTATTTATATTCTCACACTAAATCACTATCATATCAATATCTAAAATCAGACCCTCTGTTTGAACATAGTCTTAAGAACGTAAAATGAGATTCGCCCAAATCCCATAGAGTTAGGAATTGGTGAATGGAGGTCGCGCGTTCAGCACGTGTCGGTGTGATTGTGTTTACTTTACAACGATCAAACAACATATTAATTTGGTTCTTTTTGTCGGGGAAATGACTTTCGGAGGCCATTGTGATAATAGCCGATCGCTTATTACATTGCGAACACTGGTTTATATTTCCCACGTGTTGTAAGGACGAATAACGTTAAATTTGTCCAAGTTAAAAAACAAATCATTTACTAAGTTTGCAGTGCAGAAAAATAGACTTCAAATCAATCTTAATCAAGGTAAAGAATTTCGATTTTGGATACCATAGATTAGTAGCATAACGACAGCTTGCTACGTTAATCTGTTGCAGGTATAAGGAAAATATAATAATAACATTTTAATTCATTTTGACTAAAATTTAAAACTATGCATTTTAATATTTAATTGATTAAAACTAGTAAATTCAATCATCTGAGAGGTTCGAAATTCGAATCTTGTAGAAACGATAAATTGTTCCGTCTGGTAGAGCAATGAAATCTAATCAACTAAACCTGTAAGTAGAAAAATGTAAATATATAATTAGTGAAAACCGTCACAAAAATATGTACGTCCCACACCCCACATACACTTGTTAAAATCATACATTTCTTAGTATGTATTGCAACATGTAGTCGTTTATTCTGCGGTTGACCTTAAAAGGTAACAAGATCATTTTGTGATGATTTATTTGTTACTTCGTAACTGGTAGACACAAACTTTAGCCTAGCAGCAACAAATTCAAAGTCCAGCAACGTTGTCGCTCATGTAAATCACGAGCCAGCGTTGTTTGCAGCGCACTACATCTTGTCTTTTTCTTTTCTAAAGGAATTTTTATTCCCTCTTTGTTCAGTGTTCACTTCATACTTATACGAGTTTTCTCAATTGTCTGAAATTAAATCTATGGCTAGGTCAGTTTCGTCTGCGTAAATTTAAAATTAAACAAAGAGTTTCATTAAATAAAAAACAAACGTTTAAAACTATAAATGTATGCAAAGTAATAATTGACAAATAACATATGAAAATTATTATTTTTATATCGTCTCTGTTTAGTTTTCATCATAGTCACTTGATCATTGTAATTAAGTGCGAGTATTATGCCAATAAAAAGCCAGAAATTGTGTTAGAATATTTTTAATAAAAGATAGAAAAATAACCTTAATACATGCAAAACTCGAAAAAGACTCGGTACTGTGCCGGTGTTAAGCGAATTGAGCTATTTGGCAGCTATTGTTTATTTTTATTGTGCATTTAATACTTCACGTTCCAACTTTTTTGGGTGCATTATAGTTCTTATATATATAAAAAATATTTTAGTAAATATGTTAAGATTTAGGAAAGTTATATTAAATCTGGTTTGACTGATTTTTAGGCAGAACCTTTATTAGTTATATATGTTAATTAAAAATAGTGTAAGTTTTGAAGATGCAGGTATTTTGAATGAACGGGCAAATATGGGGTAGTGGAATCATATTTTTTTAAGTCCCCACAAATTCCCCAGAGATTGAATCCCATGCGACACTGGCGGCCGATAGCTCTCGCCCGATCTCCGCGGGGAATCTTTCAGTTCAGGGAATAAACTTGAAAATGTTGTCCACTAATACACGCTATTTTGCTTCTTATTTGCCAACTAGTAGAAATAAAAATTCCTAACTGTTAGCCGAAAGTGCGCATTTTTATTCATACATTGTACACTGTTAAAGAAATCAAGACCTTGGTAGTTCTTTCTATTTCAAATCAAGACTCTGTATTGGTCCATTTTTTAAATATTTTATATAGTAGTGTTATAAAGTAAATTAATATTTTAAAACCATAATCTTACAGGCAACAATTAACAGAGGCCTGATTTTTTTGCTATGGAAGGTTTTAGAAGCAAAATATCTTAATAAATAAGTTATTTTCATAATAAGATCAGTGTCAACGAAGGTTTTCCTTACCGCTTCCGTTAAATATATTTTATTATATAAAGTACTATTTTTAATTACGAGACCATGTAAAATACATGTTGATAAAAAGTACTTGTAAGTAATATAAAAATAATGATTTTTTATCTCCGGTTGACATTGGCTTCAACGGTCCACCTGATGCTCAATCATAGAAGTAACGACCCTTCGAATACTTAGCTGCCCTTAAATACTTTCGTATGACCCTTAAATACCTTACAAAACGCCCTATCTACACAAATCCGACTAAATCCTTAGTACAAAAGATGATAATGCCTCACTCTTTCATATTCAATTATATTTTGGTTGGGGAAAAATCTATCTTTCAAGCTTATGGGTATTAGGAAGCTAATTTTGTTTTGATTACATAACATTCTACCTAATTTATATGCAAAATACATTTTCATAATAACTGTTTACATATAAGTGTTAGTCAATTGAAAAACAAATGACATAGATAATATTATTTTAAATACTACTACAAACAGATCTATGATATGTATGCAGATTTTTGACTGTAAAAATAGATAAGAAAAAGACGAAAATCTTAATGGGTCTAACGCGAACTAATGTTCTGCTCAACATAGAAATCATAACTCGACATATTATCTTAACAGACGTCTTACAATGATAGGAGTACAAGAGTGTGAGGTAATAAACATCCTGAACTGATCTCAAAACTCAAGCAAACAGATATCAAAACGAATAAAATAAAAGATAATAATTACAAAGAAACAAATAATAATTTGAACGAGACACAATTATAGTTAGATAACCCAAAGTCGTCTATGGAGGGAAATGTGTAAAATGGTTACCATATAAAATGGATTGATCGGCCAGCCTTAAATAATAATTATCAACAACACAGGACTGAAAAAGCTCTAAGCATTAGAATGCTATGAATAACCAAACATAAAATCTTTTAGTGCAAACCGATAGAAACTTTTACATATATTGAACATTTGGCAAAGGATCGAATGTATGTGCTCGGGATTAGCTCCCTTGCCCCAGGGCTACCATAATTAGATATTAATAGATAAACGAAACACGTATGGGGGCTCTGGTTGAAGGGCGACTTTGAAAAGTACCCAACAAAGATCAACTTAAGGTGATAGTAGTATGAAAGTATATTTTGCTAAAAACTAATTTAATTTCTTACGCCGCTCGATTGTCATTATTTGTGTAATGTACGTGACTTTGTGAATAAAGAAGGGAAAAAATATCAAATTAAAATATTAAAATAAAAAACTGTTAACGGTTAAAAACGCGATATATATTATTAAACTTATTTAAAAATTCTATTTTAACCACATTTCGGATGCTTTGCGGCAGCCATGGTCACGGGGAGATGGGGGTCGTGATTTATGCCGTTAAAGTTTTTTATTTAAAATTGTATACTAGGTACTCGCCTAAACTACAGACAGTATTTCAATCAAAATATATTAAATTTAAAATTTGCGTTCAAAAACTTTCCTTTATTATTTATTAAACAAAACGCTTTATTGAGCCAGTTCACGATATGCAAATGGGTCTTGGCTTAGATAATGAAATGTGATTATGTATTAAAGGGTGCATAAATTAGGAAAAAGTAATAATTTGATGAAGACGAAAAATTATCTTATCTAGAAGCCGATTTTTAATTAATTTAATTATTCGTAATCTTGTTTCGCTGTCTAATTGCTGTGCGTCATCATTTTTATTTAAATTTTAAAATGTTAGTTCCTTTAAAAAAAAAGTGACGAATGTGAAACTAGTAAACAAATGTGTACAATAATAGCGGCATTAAAATACTCTTATAGTCTATGTATACAGATAAAATTACTATATGTATAAACTGTTAGCAGAATCTGTGGAAATTAATCTCACTATTATCTGTGGTTAGCGCGATTACTGTTTACCGCGAACAGTTCATTAAACCAAAGTTTGTCGTTTGTTTTCACCTTTATCATTTAAGATTAGTGTTTATTTTAAATCAAGTGTGTTGTTTTCATGTTTTAGCCCATCGTCTACGAAGGACAGGACAAGAACCCAGAAATGTGCAGGGTTTTGTTAACACACGAAGTTATGTGCAGGTGAGTGAATCCTTACTATATCGATTCAAAGTTTGTCTCCTGTCTATAGGGTTCTTAGAAATGACGTTTGTTTATATTGCTTGTCATCATTCTTACAGTTTACATTGAAAAATTATATTTATGGTCTGTAAATACAATATATAAGGTGGTTTGATTCCGCTTTGGTGTTTTTTTTTAATGCTGGATGAAAGCTGGATATTTGGGGGAATTCTAAAATATGGTTAATGCTTTGATTTAGTTGTCAATTTAATTCAAAAAGCATCTTAGATTTTATGGTATGCTGGGATATTTCTACCATCAAGTGCCCCCTTATACTTGTCTGTCCTCGTCTATAATAAAAAAATGAAATAAAAAAAATACTCTAGTTTTGAGACTTCGGTACAAGATTTATCATGAACTAGTACATGTTATATGAGATGTTATTTAATAAGCATTTTAATATATTTTATGACCAAGTACAAGTGTAACATAAACATGTTAAAGATGACGTTAAATGAAAGAAATTATTTAAAATCAAGCATAAGAAACAAGAACACGAATATCCTTATTAATTTAACAATTTGTTTGGGGTGGTTTTTCCGGTCGTAACAGTAATGTGTCTCGCCGCAACATCCATGTCGTAGTGTGTAAAGACACGGCGCGTCTATGTGTGATCAATTAAAATTTTATTCCACCTTAGACGCAATATCGTTGTCTCAGGTTGCAAGATATGTGCATCCCTGTCGCGCGTCTTCAGGGGAGGAGTCTCTGGGGAGTCTGTCCTTTCAATGTCTTTGCCCTTTGCGTCAAGGAGCCACGCTAGGGCGCAAAATGCGTTACTTTAATGTGGATACGATTTCCTTATTTAAATATTGTTTGTATGTAACATTTTAAATTTTTCAGTCGATGCTGTGATAAGAAGAGCTGCGGTAACCGAAATGAAACACCATCTGACCCTGTCATCATAGACCGGTGAGTTTAGCTATGCTAAATATATAAACAATATAACTTGGATGAGGTCAGGGGAAAAACAAATCGGTATAGATACTATATTTCACGTTTTTAAACTGATACAGATTATTTTTTGATTCATTGATCAACTTTTAAAATACATAACGTTGTATGAAGGCACAATGGGTCAAACAGTCAAACGGAGTAGAACATAATTTTGCAAATATACCGAGAGATCCATTACCAAAAGATCCAGAGTTAAACGTCACATCAGAAAGCGATTATAACAACTAATTAACTGAATAAGTTATTTAATCGTTGTTTCCTAAATGAAAGTTGTTCATTATTTCTATACATGCGAACACGAAGCTCTATTTACATTCACTACTACTAATAAATAAAAATGTACAGATAGCAGGCACACGTCTCATCGATTGTACGGTAGTGAAAATACAGACTCATTTAGACGGATAAAAGTCGTTAATTATTCAGTTCTTAACTTGGTATCGTTATTATTTCGTCTGCGAAGTCTGTCTCGAACAAATTAACTCCTTTATTCGCATCCTCCATTCACGGTGATTCATCGTTCATATGACAGGGATTTCGAAAAACTTTGTAACGCAAATGCATTTCCACGATTTTAAACTTTTATTGTGGTTTCGCTAAAAGTTATAAAATTCTCGTCTGTACGAGTTAATATTTCATTAGTCTCGCTTATCAGTGAGAGGGTAGTTTTATATTTGCATGGTCTGTGATATTTTTAAACTACATTCTTGATACATTTTGGTGAGTTCAAAAATTAAATATTTATTATAAGAATATCTTCCTTGTCCCTCTATAGTTTTACTTATTAATAACTTGTAAATTCATGACTAATTAACACGAAACTTTATCAAAACACGAGCAAGAAGTCCAAGTCTCCAATATATTTACGAGCGTTCGTATTTAAAACATTTTTCATACTGATGTTTGAGCATCCTAATCATTATTGTAAGTGCCAGTAGGTGTACTACTTTGTTCAGCTAATCAACCGATGCGGGGTACAAACAAAAGCCGATGGCACAAAATTGCCTAAGCCGCTCACGCTGAGCTATTCACAGTGATTCGTATAGAACGCGAGCTAATCAGACTGTCAAATATCAAAACTTGAATAGAAATAGGAAGCTATCTAAAGGTGAGGGTAACGCGGTTTTATTTCGTGCTTTTTTTGGCAATTCCATCTAAATAGGTGGTGTTCTATTTAGGGTCCTTAATGTTGTTGTTATAACAAAACATGTTAGAAATTAAAAAGTGCAAAAGTTTAAGTAAATCCTGATATTTGCGGATGGAAAAACCGTTAATTAGTTAGAGCACAAGCACGGAACGCTGACGATGCCGGTTCAATCCTACACGAGTCGTATTTTTTTCAATTTCGAATTTATATAGCGTCATCATGTGCAATATAAAAAATACTAAGAAATTATAAAAATCTGCATTTCGGTTTCAGTCGGTAGATTTTCGTATATCCAAAGCTAAAATAGGCTACCTTCCACCACTCCAATACTAGACTATCAAAAAACGTAATAAAATCTTTATAGCACAGTAACAAACTTCAGCAAACAAGGTCCATTGATTGATACATTAATTCATCAACTCACCCCGCCCATGCAACGTCGCTTAGTAATTCGATAATTGAAATTGTGCAATTGCGTGCAAAACGCCGCGCCGAATTCATTACACTCCTTTTGCACGCTCCTTTTTTATTTTTGCCCAGTGTCGCCCGAAATGATAGCCAACGTTGACGCTTTAATTATTTTATGTGTACCATTATGGTTTATTTAGCAAATGGATGTGTCCCTGTTGATTTATAGAAGTAGGTTACATGCTGTTTTGATGTTCTTAATTATGGTTTCTACCTAGTTTCTAATAATTATAGGGCAGCGCTTGATGTACGGGTAAAGGAGTGTTAATGCATTAATGAATCATGAGTCCTTTATAAACGGGTTCTTATTATTACCAAAGATTCTTTTATACAGCGTTCAAAATACTTTAACGGTTTGAAATGCAAATATATATTAGTTAAACTTCTTCGGAGATTATTTAAACTACGCCCCGACGTTTCGGATGCTTTGCAGCAGCCGGGGAAATTAATTAATATATATAATGTTTTAAACCGTTTTAAAGACTGTAGCGTACTCGTAAACTACAGGCTGTATTTAAGAAACAACATGTTGGAAGTATACGTCCCACCTGTTCTTCCTATACTTTCTATACTGACAGTTTCTAGTTTAGGGCGCAAAACCTTATTATCGCGACCTTCGTAATCAATCATTCATGTATAAATTTGTTGCATGTTAGTTCGTGTATCAATAACGCAACGGATAACTGATGTAACAGTAAAAGCAGGCAACAATCCAGAACCCTTCGAATCAGCAGCAATTTGTTAAGTGGATTTTTGCCCGAGACACGATCGCGGCTCGTCGCGCTCCTGTACACAATTTCATTATCTCTGCTCGCCTGCCCGCTGCCGACTCTACTATTAACTTATTCAATGTACACGACTGTACAATTTTTAATATCTGTCAGGACCTGGCCAATTTTTGTCATTTGTCACATACGTAGGCAAAACTATATACAAAATTATGAATCATAACAAAGTGTATATTAGGAATTTTAGGTCTGCTATATATGTTTGTAATAGCGTCAATGAGATGAGTTGCATAGTAATGTTACAATATATAAAAAATATTTTTGGGTCTTTTTTGCTAAGGGATATAAAAAAAGAATAACGAAAGAAAGTCTAAATTTTTTATACGCCCCTGATTGTAAAGTATTACATAATACAACTACCAATTTAGTGGGATTTTATTAAAGTTCCTTTTTTATAATAAAGAATAGGAAATTCTTAAACGTCGTTAACGGCACATGTCAACAAATTGGATTTGACATACGTACCTCTAAATGTGGTCCAAATCAATTTTCGATTAAACGTACCCTACGCAATCACTTAAGAATTTTATGAAGCGTAATGATTAAGATGTTTTGTCGTGCTTGAATTTAAAACGATGGTCGAGGGGTTGAGGTTGGTCGTTGCATTAAACCATTCGATGAGCATATTGTGACTGGAATAGCTATTAGTAGATTAATAGTATAGGGTATGGTAATTGATTACATTGAACGTATTTAAGGAGGATATCACGATAGTATTATCGGCCACTATTATAGGTTTCTTATAAGAAATGTTAAAAAATCTTAGTCAAATGTGGTAAGAAAATGGAGAGATAACTTCGCATATGGCTTACTTCTACATTACAATAGAATCTTTACACCCTATTTCGGGTGCGACAAAATCGATTTCCAATTTGATATGACCCTCCCGTTTCTCTATTTGAAAAGCATATTTTATATTACGTCGTTTTATAGGCAATTAAACATAGAGAAACAAGCGTACCTAATTTGTAAATGTGAATTCCGTAGGTAGGATTATATAGTAGTTAGCTAGTGCACAATAATTGCCTCTATTTTAAAGATGCAGAAATTAGAATAAACCGATACCAAACATAAGAACAAGTTAAATAACCATTCTTAAACCGCAATGGATATCCCATTTGTGGGCCGAAATTCTAATTTTACATTAGGGAAATGTTACTCCATAAAGGCGAGGTTCTCTCGGCTGCAGTTTTCCGGTAATTTTCGGTCTTGTGAACATTGGTAGGAGCGAATCACGGCTATTATATTATCTCATTAGACACGCCGAGTCGCGGTGCGCCTCTTTTCTTTTCGCCAAATAAATTCGTTTCTGAACGCTTGATTTCCTTTATTACATTACTTGATTTGTTTTAACTTTAGAGCTTTTGAGTTCTATTTACTTTTTCCGGACGCATTTTCCTTTTACAGGTTGAAAGTACATTAAAAAGTAAATCTAAGTGCATTATATAATGTCAGTATCACAAATTTAATAGTTAGCAAACAAATGCTCGCTCGTGCGCGACCTCCGAATAGTAGGTTTCCAAGTTACGAGGGAGAGTTTCTATAACTTTATAAGTCTTTATTAATAGCCTTACAGTATCTCGCATGTGAAAATTTATCAAACTTAAATCTAATAATTTATCTTTGTCTTTAATACCATTCTAAATGTAATGTATACTAAAGATTTCCAGAATTTCAAGGAATAAATTTAACTTAAACAAAGAACTGCGATTCCGCAAAGAAATCGTCACACTTACAGCCTTCTATATACAAAAAACGAAACTGCTCCCAAAAGTGTACCCTGGGGGAGGCCGCGTTACGCTATGGCCCGATACAAGCACGACGACCGGTGATTAGGCTTCTTATCCTTAAGATAGCGACAAAACTGTGCAAGACTTAACAACTAGGAGCGTTTTCTTATTCCCTATAACCAAGTATTTTCTTGCGTCGACTTATCTAATGCTCTTGTTCAGCTTAAATTTTCTGTATAATGCTGGCCTTTGGTAAGTTTGAGAATTTATTTTATATAGTATATTGGTTGTTAGATTACTTCAAAGAAATATGAAATATTATTCTATCCTATTTAAGTAAAAGAATACAACTTTATTTGTTCTTAAACTAACTGTTACAGCATAGCATCAACGTCATTCTTATTATACCTAATTAGTTTACCCCGCTTCCAGTAAAAAATAAATCAAGGAAGCAAAGTAATGAGATGTCATATTTGTGATTTATTTTATATAGAAAGTCACTGGTACCCTCTGATTTTTCTACTCGATAAGTCCGGGTGACGATCGTAAATTGAAATATGATAGAGTCGCAGTAATAAGCTCGAGTAATCGCATCGACCCTTCAAATGTAGACACTCGCGTGACTTTGCAAAATGGCATGTTTTAGAATGCTCTCGACATACCTACTATAATA